CACTACATGTATTACCACTCGGTAATAATATAACTAGTTACAGTGAACTAAATTTAAATTTTAAATGTTAACTTTTAACATTTGTATTTTTAACTTATATTTTATAAGAAGAACTTAACACATATTATTGAGCGTGGACCTGAACAGGATACAGGATCAAAATAAGTGGAAAAACGAATGTGATTGCGTGTGATTCTGCAACTGTATTCGTACACCTGAGGATGACCTCTTGAGGTCGAAACATGTAGTGTGACAGTAAATAAAAACGTGTTGTGTGGTCGGTAAAATTAACTCTAATATTGATTCAATACACAACAGGATGCAAGAAACAATTAAATTTATATATAGAATTGGTTTGCTTTACTTGAAAGAACAACTTACCAAGTTCAGTGCTTCTCAATATGAGCGCCATTCGTAGCTCGCAGAATATCAAAACGGTACTCGATTTCCCGCCATGTGTTTTCCAACATCTGGGGTGTCACAGAAGCAACAGAATTGTTGATTCATGCACGAAGCTTAAGCACACTACGAACTTTTGGAAGGAACCTGGCCCAAAAGAAAAAAAATCCAATGGTTTTATCGGGGGAGCGAGGGGACCAGGGGATTGGTCCGTTCCTCCCAGTATATATGTTTGGAGAACTCTCTCACTGCAAGGCCCAGTGTGTCATCATCTTGTTGAATGAAAACCTTTGGTTTTGTGGTACTGCAAATAACTGAAGAGTGTCGGGATAATTTGTATATTGTTGGCGATGTACCCTTCTGATCACCTCATGCACCCTTCTTATGCAGGACACTACCTGTCTCTTGAAACTGTTCCAACGATTGCTTGATGGACTGTCTTCCAGGTGCTTGTTCTCCATATTCCCGGCTGTGACGTCATTGCAGTTTAACTGATTTTGTCTCCCAATACCACAACTCGGACATTGCCATCTGGTTGGGGGGGACCGCCATTTTGTGTTCGTCAGCTGTGTACGTTTCAGCAGCGCCACTATCGGCAGGACAATCAATTACAACGAAAACTTTTCAGCGGTTCTTTCGAACAGTCAGTCCGTTTCGCGATATCACTAAAAATTTTTATTTACGTAAGTTTTAAATGTTGTGAATAATTTATGGCCATTCTGTATAACTGGACGGTCTTTATAACGGAGGCGTAGCGTGTTCTCTGTGGAGTAGGACTGTTTTATTTCAATGAATTTCAGGGCAATACGCACGTTTCTGTTCATATTGCGAAAAGCAGTGTCCGGGACATTCCTATTCTAAGTTATGGGGCTATCGATGTCGTGTTGCAGGCAACACGAGGTGTTACTGCCCTCATTCCCGCGGGCTTACAGTGTCATGTCAATAGCTAAGGCCTGTCTATGACCGTTTTTGACACAGGCCTTTAAGATTATTACATAAGTGGACCTACTTTTATTAAACTATAATTGAATACCATGTCATTGGATACGAAGCCACTTTTGTATTGTGTTCTGTATAGGTAATTCTCGACCTAAAATTAGAATTTAAAACAATTTCGCATAAGAAATAATTACCGTCTTTATAGAACCCAAACTTTCATTGGCATATTGACAAGAATCGGCCTCAAGTTGGACTTTTCCATTTCCTGAAACTGAAGCTGCATATTTTTATAAAACGGCCAGTCTGCACCGCAGGGAACTTCGAGACGCATAATCACTCGGAACCAGCGATGTTCCCAAGTTCAGGCTTTCACCATGATGATCATAGGTGGAAAATACCAAAATAGAGTAACCGTAAATGTCAATGTGTTTGCATCAAATTTCACGAAAATCGGTCGATTCATATGTTTCATTGTGAAGTCCGTAGCTGAACCAGAGGACGAGCGCGTAGCTGTTTAAGGGAGCTCTGAAGAATGGAGTACGTTGCTTGGAAAGCCACCCGGAAACCGCCATCTGTAATGTGTGAAGCATAATATAACTTTTTTAAGTTTTTCTCCGTACCGACAGCTTTTGCGAAGAAGGAAGAGAGAAAGAAAAGCAAAGCGAGCAGTGCAATTGCTCCGAACAAGGCACAATAAAATATGTGGTTGAGCTATCTCGAATCATTTAGCATCTTTGTGACGAACGGAGGTGAACAACCTCGTCGGGGCCCACTGGAGACCCCTCGTGGCGCAGAATTTCGTTGTTTCTACACCGTCCGTGTAAATGACAATCACATTAATAACGGCGCCATTACTCGCTCACTCTGGCTACTGGATTCTACCACAGTGTGGTCCATAAATTGTATCACACCGCGGCTACATCTTGAGATAAACGTACTTTGTTTCTGGCCTTTACCCTTCGACCCGTCTAGCATGGGCGAATCTACCAGGAACTTAGGCCTCCGCTGGCGCGTATCTCCAGGATATCAGGGCACGCAAACTTCCCTCCCTTCCACATATCCTAGAAGGAAAGTTCATCATTCTTCTTTCAGACTTAACTCCATACATAGACGAAATTAATGGGGATCATGAGTATGGGTTCCGACGTAATAGATGAGTTATCCATGAAATATTCTGCATTAATTAATGTGGTGTTGGAGAAGAAAATGAAGTAGGATGGGACAGCATTCGCCTGTTATAGGCTTGAAGAAAAGTGTTTCGCTGAGGTACGAGAGAGTGTGGACTTAACATTTCCACTGAATTTGATAATGCCCAGAAAATCAGTGTTTTTATTGCCAGTGGGGTGGGACTAAGTCCCTTGTACTGCGGCCACTTCTGGCCTATTTTTCCAGCCCCAGATGATAGGTGAGGGTGATTGTGGAGCAATTGGTGGAATGAAGATTGGCAGGGGAAGCCGAAGTATTCTGAGAAAACCTGTCCCAGCGCCACTTTGTCCACCACAAATCCTACTTGACCAGGCCCGAGATCGAACCCGGGCCGCCGCGGTGGGAAGCCAGCGACTAACCGCTTGAGCTATGGCGCGGCCCACAGAATCAATTAGGCATATTAAAATGCGCCCAAATGAAGCGTACACGGCGTACCCAAGCATTGTCTGGTGCATTTCCGGTTCACATTTATTTCAGACTAAGATACTCTTCGCCGGTCACGGTAGCCGAGCGGCCTAAGGCATGCACTGGGTTCGAATCCCACTCAGGGCATGGATGTTTGGTATTTGTGCATAGGTAGAGGGGCCTTGCGACGAGCTGATCACCAACCCAAGGAGCCCTACCGAATGTATAAGTTCTAGTAAACCAAAGTGAGTTTCGTGGAGGTAGGCCAAGGCCAAAATTTGGTCTGTAGCGCCAAAGGGTATAAAAAGATACTTTTCGTTTCCATTGATTTTCGACCTGGTTTCACGTAAACTGGTCGGAAGGCCCAAGAAAATCAGGAGAGATAGAATCGAATGAAAGATGCCGGCTTGTGGTCTTTATTTATGGTTATAATTTATTTGGCATAAACATGTATATGCATATAAGAAACAAAAATCGTATCAGATGCTAGTATTCAGACTGGTTGTGAAGTTAACGTCCTTAATGTTCATATCTCGTCACTAGAATGTAGCAGGAATCATAAAGTTCGCTAATGGACCTAAGTCTCCCAGAATTCTGCAATATTTTAAAATCTACAAAACTATAATTTTACTGTTCAGTTATAAATCGACCTTATATTGGGATATCAGGTGATGGGCAACTTCCAAAAACCCAGCAGCCTAATCCTAAGTACATTTTTACGGATTTCTTATATCGATGTCAATTTATTGTCTCGCCTGAAGGGAAGAACATAGATTGGGTGTATAAGATGCATTTTATTGCAATTCGTTACCATCAGCGCTTAGCCTGTGCCTATTTATTATTTTATTTCCTGTTAGCTTACTCGTATTGGTTTATAATACAGGTTGTCCGAGAATAATAGTAGCATATACTGTATTGTTTGGTTATAACCTATATAACCTGTTAATCGTATTTGGTTTGTATTCATTGTGGTCGGATGTCCTTGTTGTTGTTGTATTTGTTACAGTTGTTTGTATTTCTCTGTAATTGTTGTAGTTGCTAATCGTATTTGGTTTGTATTCACTGTGGTAGGATGTCCTTATTGTTGTGTTTTCTGTATTGTGTTTTGTTTGAACGTGTTGTCACTTAGTGTAATGTGTGTTACTTGTCTGTTGTGTCCTATTGTGTACTACTGCCACCGGGCTAAAACCCAATTGCAGCATAACAAATAATATTTATTTATTTATTTATTTATTTATTTATAGCACGTTAATTGCAGAGAACTAAAGCAAGGAATGTCATCAAGCCTTTCTTATTGCCGGTGTTCAAAAATATCCGGCATTGACACCCAGCCACGTTCTCCAACGAAAGGCATCTGAAATATTGTGTGGTACCGTTATTCTGGAAAGTCTGTATACGGCTCATATTTAGAGAACACAAGGGAAATGTAGTAAAGTAAAGAAAATTCGGACCGACTAGGGAGCTGAGAATATCAATTCAACCTAAGAGAAATGAAATGCAAGAGGGTGGGGAAGTTCCACAATTACGAACTTGTAACCGTTGCCGGATGTTATTGGGGCGATCAGTGACAGAGAATTTGATGGGCGGGACACGTAGCACCCATAATCGGTTTGTTAGTTCAGTATTGAATGAAATAAGATAATGACTGCGTTCGATTAGGCTAAAGTTGGCACTAACTTCGCGGACAAGCGGCGGTCGCTCGGTTGGTATAGTTCGCTTGCGGACTGAAGCCACGGAGTTTGTTTTTTGTTGTTGTTGTGTTCGATTAGATGAAATATATTGGGTGAGAAATCAGTTGTGGCCTGTTTCGAAGCAGAGTATTGTTCTGTAATGGTTGAAGAATTACACAACGCATTAGCTATGGTAGCTAATGCCCTAGTTTTGGACTCGAATCTGACATCTCCCAGTCGCGTTGTTCAGTTACTTAGTACGCTATATTCGATGTATGTTCCATTCCATGGTCACTTCGCAAGGTCTTAACAGCGTCAGCGATTGTTTCGAGCATTTTCGTATGGATTCTGTCGCATCACAATTTGTTTCCTTTGTTACAGGCGGCGGGCCCGCCTGTGCAGCTGGAGCCCGTGGATCTGAGTGTGAAGGCCCCTCACTCGCCAGCGGTGGTGTTGCAGGTGCCCCGATATAGCCCTCAGCTGCCCACCAATGGCGCGGACCTTCATCTCTCCTATCCAGGTAAGTTATGACGGCTTGTTCATGATGGAACAGTGGGACGGGAACAGTGTTGTAGTCAACATTCGGCACTCCCGTAAAGCAAAGTGGCAAGACGTCGCCTCTGCCGGTAAGGAAGCGGACTGTAGTGACGATACAGGCAGAATAATGCGGTTTTGTATGGATGTGGAGGCGGCTGAAACAAAGAGGAGGGCGATTTGCGTAATTAAATTCGACAGCACAATACGAAGAAGATGAAAAATCAGTGGAAAACCGTGTTATTAAGGAAACAGTTTGCAAGGCTGTTAACCGGTTTAATTGGTGATAAGATCTAAAAGTTTGTGACGATGGTACATTGCTACAAGTATTATGTTTCTGGACATTATTCATCGTCCTGTCTACTTTCCTCTGATACGACACGGACCACAAAGAAAACGACGCGTCAAACATTTCTTCTATTGTTGCATGTGTATTCATTGCCGCGGTAACATTTTTTTATTTAGCCGCTGTCTGACAACAATAGACGTATTGACAGAAACTGATGGGAGGAATTTATGAAGTACTCCGTTGAGATGGGCTCAGGTGTCATGTACGTACGAAGTTTCATAAAGATTGGTTCAGGCATTCTAAAGCTGATTGGGGTTGAGGGGGATGCACAGACACAGACAGCATGGTGATCCTATGTGCCTACTTATTTTTCAGACTAGTTATTAGTTAGTTATTTAGAGAGGGTGGGTTTCCCCATGCACCGCGACCAGTTTGATCTATTTCAGACTAAGAAATGGTTGGAATTTCTGAGCGGGAAGATGAAAACGGGCTGAGTTTGTCGGATACGGGATAACGTAGCCGACAAAGGGACCTTACAGATGTAGGGTATGAGTATGTGAACTGGATTCATACGACCCAGGATTGCTCATATGAACACTGTAATGAACCTTCATGTTCCGTAAAAGGCGGGATATTTCTTGACTATTTTAACGTGTGTTAGTTTCTCGAGAACGACTCATCTCTTTGGAAGCGGAGTATAAATTCACTACTTTATTATGATAAAATCTATCTCGAGATTTATTGACGAATACCTGTGAATCATGGTACCATTAGTCTGTCCTCTACTCGGGCTCTTGAAGGATTCGGTGTATTGTCTTCATATTTAGACTAAATTTTCTTTCACTTTACACACTTGAAAAGAAGAGGATCTCAAATAACACTGCACATGGAACATGTACCGAAAATGGTGTGATATTTTGGAACGATTATCATTTGCAACGAATTTGAGAAATCCTTGTAGTGAATTCTCGAGTCACTACGAAAAGTTTTATTGCCTCTGTGCTCATGAATAGAGTTGGGCCGTTATGTTGGCAGACATTACGCTAGAAGAGTGGGTTCAGAATTAAGACTTCTGATTCGAGATATCTCGCTGAGTGACGCAGGGGAAGCACGCAGCCTGTCACACGAAGACAGATGGCGTCTCGTGCAACGCGAGTCCAAATATATGTGTATGTACGTGTATTCATATGCGGCACGGAGTCGACGACTGAGAGGTCGGAGTTCAAGTCCCGGTGAGTGTAAGAATTTTCACTTCATGTCTTCGAGACCGGCTCTAGAGTCCACCTAGCCTCCTATCCAATCCCCGGGGGTAAAGCGGTCGGGGCATGAAGCTCACCACTCACCTCCAACTAGTGCCGAGGTCAAGAAAATGTGGATCTGTACATCCACTCCCTCATACACCTCCATGGCGTAGTGCTTAATTGTCTAAGCACAGGGACAACATTACCATTTACCCTGGTTCGTCTGCGTGACAGAATCATTTCGTATGCCTAGTTTGAAGGACTTCACGCAAACTGAATGAGACTTCGGTATTTGTGTCATGACGTAAAGTTGACGCACGAATAGGCCTATAGTTATACGAATGGAAAGTCAAGTTTGTTGCCAGAGGTACTGTTTCCATCGAACCGACAGGTTTATTGTGGCAAGGATTACATAGCTCTTCGACGGACTGTCCGGTTGCTAGATAGCTAAATAGCTGCCAGGCTGATTAAGTATCACCCTGGTACCAGTTATTTTCCCTGAGTTGTTGTAACTAATTCGACACATCTACTGAATTATTGAGGCGTTTATTTTGAATTTGTTTATTTCTGAGTAATAAAATTACTTTAATACTGTCAGATGCAGCTGAATTATCGTCAGCATCATCGTCAGCTAGTGATACTAGTTAGGCGTGTTGTCGTTCCCAGGCAATGACGTCCTCTCAAACAGGTTCGAGTGTGGGATCTTCTTCATCCTGGCGGCAGGGTCAAACTCGTGTACAGCGTGACCGTGGGTCAGAATCCGTGCACACACAGACTCACCTGTGCACACCTGGGCCTTCTCTTGAGGAAGTGATCATTACGTGATCTTCAAACCGGGTTAAACTGAAGTTTATCAAGGTGAAGGGTCTGTCATTTGTACAGACATTTTAAAAGCGATTAGGGTGCTCCTAGAACATTGAACGAATGTCTCACACAACTTGCATGTACTCTTATGACCCTAATTGACAAATTTTCTGAAGATCCGGAAACGTGAACTTATTCAACCACAACATATGTATCGTCTTTCACACTTTACTCGTACACATCAGTTTTATCCTCTGGTTTGTATGGTTATCGTAAATGTGTCCTTTCATTAAGGCAAGAACTTGAACATGCGGGAGTTATAAAAATAAACATAACTTTTCTCTGTAATTAATTAATAGCCACATAGTTGAGACGTATCTATATGCGGGGGGAATGGTGGTATAACTCCACGCATTCTTACTTCGTTACTAGATGTAGATGAGTCGTCAACTTCGCCCCCCTGAGAGAAGGGCCCACGGTACGCCATTGAGTGGGACACACTGGGATTCCCTGCCGGGAATCTAACTTTGGTCCTCCAACGTCCAAGTCGCGCAAGAATAAAATTATTTATCTTTAGGCATCACTAAATGTTGTCTGTAATTTTGTTGTATTTAGTATAGACCAGTTTAACGAACTGTGAATCTGTAGCAAAAAAGCGCACGTTGAGCATGACCTCAGTTTAGCCGAGCTGCCTGAGATATATCGTAAACAGTCCGCCCAGTTCCAAAGGATTTATACAGATTTAGTTAAGACATAATTTTACGTTGAGGGCTTGTTAATCCTACTCCAAGTGTGCGAGTGGAGGACCGCGGCTGCTTATGGATACTCATTCACAGCTGTTCTCCGTGTTCGCACTTTATCCTGAATTGTTCATCGTAACTGAAGGAAGTATGGGGCACGGTGCTACAAGTCGGAAGGTCGCGGGTTCAATTCCCGATGAGATCATTGGATTTTTCAGTTGACCTAATCTTTCCAGCTGCACTGTGGTCCTGGGGTCGACTCAGCCTCTAACAAAAATGAGTATCAGGAATCTTCCTGGGGTGTAAAGGGCTGCCTGCGCCTAAGGCTGTCAGCCTCACCGCCATCTGCCAGTCGATTGTCTAGCAACTGTGAGAGCTTCGACGTCTCACAACCCTATGAGCCTTCACGGCCTGTTACATGGATATCTTTTTTTTTTAATTAAAGGAAGTATTTTATCTGTATAAGAAATTCCAGCTGCAAATGTCATTAAAAGTGAGAGCTTTGAGAAGTTAAAAGACGCGATAAGAAGACACTATTACTCGCACGTTTAGATGAACGAATGGTGAGAGGTATCAACTTCCGTGGATGCTGTAACAGTGTATCTCCAGTCACTGCTGAGTGAAAGAAAAGTAATTGCTGGACTCACCGCGTCAGAATTAATTCTGAAACAGTGACTCCTCCAGATATAGTATTTATAAGCAACATCTTGAACATTGAATCTCTTAATGCATAAAGTACCAGTCAAGTCCTTTAAGTGTGACGAATTTGATATGGTCAGGTAAGACTTTTTTGCCTTTACATGTTTCGGCTATTATTGGCCATCATCAGAAGACACAGAAAACACTGCGAAAGAACCGCTTTACACATATTGTTGTTTAAACATACGCTGTTGTCATAGTATCATAAAGGGACTAATGTAGAAATCAATCTTTATTTGCATCCTGTTGTGAGTTAGATAATCGTGTAACTTGTGCCGTCAGCACAGCATAAAAGTATCTTCAAGATGAAGACAGGCTTATCGCAGGGCCCTTTACCTGCAAATGGCAGTATAATACAACATACTTACGTGCCAGTATCCATGCACCGAACATAATTTGAACCTCTGAACCCCTTGTTCGGGAGACTGAAGGCATGGGTGTCCCAGACTACCGGCTACCTATAAAAATATATATCGAGTCGGATTTGAGGTTCTCACAGCGGTGGCCATGAAAACTGCCATTTTCTGGTGAAAGTCAACCGACGTTCCAGAGGAACATATGGCCTCCGTTTTCGGGCTCAAAGGGCTCAAAGGGCAAGCCAATCGAGAAGCCAGGTTGAAGCAGATGATCTTTTTTTCCCACAGAACATTTCTCTCATAAAGAAGGCAGTCTTCTGGGATTTGGCACCGTGTATATGTGGTATTAACCGACGTTTCGGAAGAACGTATCGCCTCCATCTTCAGGGTAGAAGGGAAAATATAAGAAATCCGCAAGCGAAGAGACCGTGAGAACCGGTAAAAGCAGACTGCCCTGAAGATGGAGGCAATACGTTCCTCCGAAACGTCGGTTAACACCACATATACACGGTGCCAAATCCCAGAAGACTGCCTTCTTCATAGTCACCGCCGTGAAAGTCTCAAATCTTACATTTCTCTTATAGCTGAATTTTCTCGCGGTCTGTGACAGTGTTCCCACTGCTGCAGAGGACTTGTACTGGTGGCCCTGCTCCGGTGCGAGGTACAGCGAGAGAGAGAGAGAGAGAGAGTCCTGCCCCGGGCTACATCGAGCCCCACGTCTTCCACCCACCGACTCTGTAGGTGGGAGGCTTGCGTTGTGTAACTAGTCGAATTAGCATAACTTTTCTGCGGCTAATGAATCAGGCATAAGAAGTGAAGTGGCAAGAAAAAATGCGATTTAAGGGAGCTGTGCTTAT